TATCACAGGGCTACACTTAGAGACAGACAACCAAGCACACTCACATTCACACCTACGGACAATTTAGAATCACCAATAAACCTCAGCATGTTTTTGGACTGTGTGGGAGGAAGCCGGAGAACCCGGAGAGAACCCACGCTGCACGGGGAGAACATGCAAACTTCACACAGAAAGATCCCAGGTGTCCTCACTGGGATGCAAACCAGCGACCTTCTTGCTGCGAGGCAACAATGCTAACCACAGACCCACCTTGCACCCTTGATGTATTTATGATAAAATAAAATCAAAAACCTGTGGCATGCCCATGGCGCTCTGACATTATATTTGGCACCGCTGATGATTTATTTTAACTACGCTCCCTTAATTAACCTCTTAACCCAAATTTTCTATCTAAAATGCTGCATTAAGTGAATGCAAAGTCTAAACCAAACAAACATTTTCTTGTAGAACTGCAATCCAATTCTCCCAAAACATACCAGCATGCCATCTCTGATCTGCTTTGAGGTCAGGTAAATCTTGTAAAACAGGTACTAGGCTTGTTTGTTTTCTTTGATTTTGTTGCATCATTCGGTTGTACTCATGTAATTCTTAAGAAATGAACACGATCCTGCCAGTTTCCTCATAGTTTTACTGACCTAACATGTTGTCATATTCCTTTTTGATGGCAGAAAGAAGGGGTTGGTATGTTGTGAATGCTTTGATGAAACATCCGAAGACATTGCGATAAACCTGCAGCCAAAGCAGAGGAAGATATGGACAGTAAGAACTCAAACGCTGACAAGAACTTAGTTTTTCCTTCCCCCATAAACAATAATACTGTAAACAAAAAGGTGCACCTGTAGTTTCAGTTCCTGACATTTTGGCTCAGTCGGGCTGATAGCATGCAGCTCCTTGTTCACAAAGCTCTCCAGCTGCATCAGGAGTTGAGGTTTTCTTTCCGGACCTGCATAAATATAGCTGTTCCCCATCCAGCACAACTGTAGGATTTAACAGACAGACACACTCTGCTGCAAGAAGAGACACTATTTTGACACCTTAAATCATCTTTATAGCAATTAAACACTCAGTAAAGTAGCGTAAACTTGCCCTGAGTAACGTTTTGCTTGGTTTTTTGCTTATGTTGAAGAAATTTTACTCATAGTCCTCATGTGAAGTTTGCTGTAGTGGGTGTTTATTAGTATTCTGGTATACGGTGGGCTCACCAACACAGAGCATGAGTCTGTGACGGTAGACTGACCCTGGACATCTCCAGAGTCACACATTTATACTGTAAGTCAGAGGGTAAGGGGGGCCTGTATGTAAATACAGAGGTGAATAGAAGCAAATTAACATACAGTTGCTAATCAAATGACCGGAGGTAAGGGGGGGCAATGAACCACAGGTGATGAAATCTGAGTCTGGTGACCAGACGGGTGATGGAGTCGGGGTTCTGATAGCATACAGTTGCTAATCAAATGGCAGGAAGTAAGGGGACAATGAACAACAGGGGGTGGAATGGGGGGGTCTGTGACAGGAGGTGGGAAAACACATGACAAAAGGTGATGAGAAAACACACGGCAACAGGGGATGAAATCAGGGGTCTGTGACCATCAAAATAAAAGAAAATGACTTTCTTCATCACTTACCTTTCTTGTTGCAGAGGCTTGATCAGAAATAGCACTTTGTCCTTCTTGCCCTTCCTCTGATGTCTGGACAGTGTCACTTTGTAGGCTGTGGTCATATGTAAGTCTAAAATAAAAATAAGTTAAGCCACTGTTATTTATAGAGCACGACACGTAACAGCCACTGAGCTAAAGTTGTTGCTATTACGCTCAAGACCTTACAATCTCATATACTCAGAAAAATTACCTGATTAATGCAACCCATTAATTAGGGTTTAGACATTACAATATTATTAATTAAGTAAGTTTACGTGGCTAATTTAAACTTCAAGATTAGAACTTATAATATTATGTATTCAAACAAAAAACAGCAAAGACCCTACAATATCATACATGGAAATAACTTTTTTAAAAATCTAGTTTGCACTGAACATTGTATGTATTTATTTATTTTGATATAAACAATTTTATTAATAATTTCATAGCAAAGGCTAAGATCCTATAATAATATATTTATAATACAAAATTACCTGACTTACAATATCACAAGCACTGAAAAATAGCTAATTAAATAAAATAAAATTAATGCTCTGCAAACATATTTGTGAAAATAACATTGAAATAACAAAGCTAATTTGCATTAAAGTTGTAGTTTTAAAAATTATGAACAGTATTATCGTGCCAGTTTGCTGTCTAATTGAAATATTACACTACAGTCTTATATAACATACAGCACGGTATAGTACAGATCTATCTGACTAAAGAAATAATATGGTTAAGACCCTACAATATTATTCTCAGTGTAAATTTACTTGACTAATAGAAAATAAAATCAAGACAGTAGAAACTTTAACTAGAAATAAAACTGAAATAGGCAGGTTGTGTTAAATATTGTCGCCATTTGCATTGTAAACAGAATTATTTCTCATGTGAATTTTCCTGAGCAATTTAAATATTACGGTTAAACCACTACAATATTATGAATAACAAAATTTTTTCAATTATTATTATCAACTTATACATAGACATAACATGAAAATAACAAAGCTAGCTCGTCTTAAACCTTTGGGCTCCTTCCAACAATACCAAAACTTTCTTTCAGTGTAAATCTTTTTCTGACTTGCCTTTGTTTTTGTGACGGTGTTAAAGGTGGAAGTTTTAAATCTTTGTGTGGTGACATCTCCACAGACTTTATAAAGTCTAAATAATATCGTAATAAGCTCCAGCTCCTTTTAAAATCGCGGAGTTTTCTCCATTTAGTTCAAACTTGACTTCAGACGGCACAGCGTTGTAGCAGTGTTTCCATGGCAACCAGGACTGACTGCGCAGGAGGACCCCACATAGTAGGCCGCGGCGCGCCTGACTGTTTTTACTAGTGCCAGTAACAAATACACGATAATTTACATTTATGAAACGAGAACTGTAACAATTACAATACAATATAACTTGGATTAAATCATTCTCACTGTATGAATATTGCAAGCAATTAATTTGGACCAGGAAATAGTATAGCTGCTAATGCTATCGATTAATTTCCATCTAACTTCCAAAGATATTCAAGCTTCACTTTCTTAAGTTAAAGATTTGATCACACTCTAAAAATGTCTTTAAGTATAATGGCTGAAAAATACATTTCCTAGCTACCTGTATTTATGATTTTGTTGGTTCTTGGCTGGAATTTTTACATTAGTCAGGTAATTTGTTGAAATGTAAAACATCATAGTTTTTTAAGAATATTAACATTTAGGTGAGTCAGGTCATTTACATTCTATATATTACTATCGAGTCTTAATATTTGTGCAATATAATTCTATATATATATTTTATATAACACTGAATACTGTCGAGTCTTCACTCTAAAATTTAGTCAGGCAATTTTTTATTTTATATTAATTTAATATTATTATGTTTTGTTATTGTTGTTGTTGTTTTACAGTATATGGCATTGTACGTTCTTAATCTTGACATTTAAGTTATTCAAGGTAATTTATGTTATGTGTAATACTGTTTGTATTAATGATAATAAACACCAGCCATGCAGCAAGCCTACATTAAAAAAATGACATTATTCTTTTGTGATCGTGGAATAAAGGTCATGAAATAATTACTATGGCTTGTTATCACTTTATAGCTTGTGCACCCGTCTACTTGCCACATAATTTACTATTTAATTTGTTTGGCTTTCACTGACTTGTTAGAACTTGTGAGTCGCTTGAAAGACCCTCTCCAGTGAACATTATGTGGCTTTTTTTAAAAAGAAATTTTTAACCTTGTTAACAGTTCATGTGGTGATTTTTATATGCTATCAGACATATCATGAATAACATAAAAAAAATGAAATAGTAGTTTAAACAGACACAACAAAGAACTGTAAAAGGCTGAGGTTGCATTAAAAGAATAATACAGCATTCAGGGTTTTTCCAGACCCAGAATGGATCTTTGTGGCGTGACTGTGCATCACAGTAATCATGCCTGTTCTGTGTACAGTCGAGGTAATGACACTGTGTTACCTTTCTGGTTAAAAGTCTATTCATTTTCCTATTATTTCTGACATTTTTTTTTAAAAAAAGAAAAAAAGTATGCTTTAGTAAATGAAACTCCAGTTAACCAAACTGGTTTAAATATTTAATTGCTATTTTAGTATTGTATAGTATGTATATAATATTGTATATTATATAATGTTTAAAGTATTCTAGTAAATGTTGAATAATTCATAATATTGTAGGGTCTTAAATATAATATGTAACTTACTCAGTTAAATTTACATGATAAATAAAAGTGCCTTGACCTCAGTATTTAAACTTGTTGGGTAAATTCATAATATCAGTTTTATTTTCTGTAGCTACTAGAAAGCACTTTGGCTGAAAACCTGTTGAATAAAATGTGCTATATACTGTAAATAATGGTGAAAGGACTTGACTAAATTCCTAATCTTGATATCAAGCATCAAAACAAAAACAAAAATAAACAAAAAAAAATCAATGTTTGCGTACAATGACAATAAAGACTATTCTATACTATTCTATTGTATTCTATGCTACGCTATCCTGAGTACCATAACTGTGTAATATGTAAATTACTGCATTGTAAACATAACTTAGAATCATTTTGTAAACATTACACTACATTTTATTTCAAGAAACAAAAATATTTTTATTTAAACACAAAAATTAAATTATTTGATGTTCTGAATAATGCCTACGAGTTTCTAATTAATATAAAACTACATTTCCCAGGAGCCCCTCTTAGTGGGACGCAATAAGCCAGTGTAACAGTAGAGGAGCCGTGTAGTCATTTCTGGACGCATTAGCGTAGCGGCGAGCGTGCGGCCGCACTACGTCACCCAGAGTGCACCGCGGCAGCCTTACAGTACACTCCGCTGCTTATCCGGGGATGTCACACCGCTGCTATTTTCTCCCCTCAGTCCCTCTCACTCTCAGCCTACAAGCTCCAGCGGACTGACGCGGGGCTGTGGAGAGACACAAGCGAACAATAAGACACAAAAACAAGAGGCCAAAAACAGGAAAAAAATGGCAGAGCTCGGAGCGGGAAGCCTGCCGTTAGGGGATCCTGCCTTTAACTACCAGGAGCAGGAGCTGAGCGAGCGGCTGAAGCGGCTCTACCCGGCTGTAAACGAGGAAGAGACCCCTTTACCCCGGTCCTGGAGCCCCAAGGATAAATACAGCTACATTGGGCTGTCACAGAACAACCTGCGGGTCCATTACAAAGGTTAGAGAGCCGGCTCATCCCTCATGTAGTCACCACGGCAGCTCTGGTGTGTTGTTGCGGAGGGGGTCTCTCTCTCACACAGTAACACACACTCACATACACACAGTATGCGATTACTGTGCGTGTGTGTGTGTGTGTGTGTGCAGTCCTGGTAAATCTAGTCTGAGCTGCCTCTCCTGTCCTATAACCTTGCTTTGTTTCAGCACAGGAATGCCCACAGTGTGAACTCGCTTACCCCTCGCTCTTATTACCACCACACTGAAATCCACCTATATTTTTTTAGTGGCTCTTTGTTTATTTGTGGCGTTTTATTTGTTTGTTTGCTGTGTATCTGACGTCCTCCCCCCTTCATAGTTCGTACTGGAAGGGGGACACAGGCAGCAGCAAAGCTAAGCTAACTAATGGTATTTAACCAACAGCGGCTAGCTAACAGAATGCTAGCTTAAATACCAACAGCAGCTAGCTAACAGAACGCAAATACAGCAGCTAGCAGTGCGGCTAACTAGCTAACGTTAGCTTTAAAAAAAAACAGCAGGCTACAAGATGGACACCGGCCAAACTTGTTGTTAAGCTTTTACAACGCAGTGCTGAGTGTCATGTTGTAATTGTGTAGTTTTTATCCCCGCCCACAGTAAGGCAGCCAAAAAAAAAAAAGGAATAATAATAATGAAAAAAATAATAATAATAGCATTGTTGGTCTTTTCTCGCGTGATTTCAAGTCAAGTCTTTTCCAGAAATCATTTTTTCCAGCCCTGGAAACAACCGGTCCAACTCCATTCAGATCTGTGTTAACAACAGCCTCAGGTCCAGCTGCTGTGAGACTAAAGGAGGCCTCTGCGCATTGCATTAGGCCAAATGTACCGATCTTGTAATAAATCTGGTGTATCGACAGACTCTGGCACCGTAACAATAACAGCACGGTGCAGACAGTCCCTTATTCGACTGGATAAAAGCTGTCAGCGGGGCTTTTAGCCATCCGATTATATCCACCTCCTAAATCAAAACAAGGGGGACATCTATGTGGAGACCTGATATTTTCCATCAGGCCACACGTCAGGGCAGCCCACCTCCTCTCCAGCAGCAGCAGCAGGCAGGCCAGTGGTGGATCTGAGACTGTGAAAAATCTCCATAAATGCATCTGCAGGGTCACTTTGGGCCCTGTTGGCTGTTTACATCAGAGCAGAGGATGAGAGGATGCAGGCGGGCTGCATTTTTGAAAGGCTTATTTGGCAGATATGTAGTGGTGGTGGCAGCGAGGCCGGGCAATAGAGCTGAGAAATGTATCACAATGTTATGTTTCAATACAAATTGCTAGTTATTTGTAATTCTTAATGACCTATTTTTTTTTAATAAACACCAGGAGGCAGAATGTTTAACTTGCATTTAACCACTTTAGCCTATTGATTTAATGTGAAATAACAGTGAAAACACACACAAATAATTAAATTTACATACAAGAATGCTTCAAAAAGTTCTCAGCCTCACCTAGAAACAAGGGGTGTAGCTCCCATTTTGGGGGCTGCTATGAAGCCTTATGTTACTGTCAACAAAAACACAAATGTTCATGGCCATTTCTTGCAATTAAAGGGAAAAAAAGGGGGTTGCTGTTGCTCCACAGGTGGCAGAAGCAGCCAGTTAGTTTTTAACTGCTGCCCCATCCAACTTACTAACCCGATCTGACTTCTGTTTTCCAAACTGCGTGGTAGCCATTTTTAGCCATAATGAAGTCATCGATGCTGTTGAGCAGAATCTGGAGGCTCAAGATGTGATCATCAGTGGACCAAGTGCATTGAAGTTAAAGAAGATAGTGCAAGAACAGTCCTGTGATGTTTTCTAGCGAGGCCAAGAACTTTTTGAAGTACCCTCTCACATATATAAGGATAAAGGGATCATCTCACCTTGACACACATTAAGTAATCGTGTATCATGTGGCACTTTGGCTCTGGTGGAGGTTAATTCTCATAGTGGATGGCCTGGACTAGGTGTCACCACTCGTGGACCCTTCACGTGCTTGGAGGTGGTGGGAAACACGTGGTAATGGGTGCTGTTTGATCGTGAAGCTTGTTTTTGCGATGCCAGTCCCTGCTAGCTGCAGCGTCCACCAGAGGAAGTCTGGCGATGAGAGGCCCAAACAGTATCACGCCTTGGAAAACTTCTAATAAAGGGTGAAGAGGCTCCGCTAGCAAGAGATTTGATTGGCTGTTCATGAAGTCTGGAGGTAGCAGGCTTCTAGTTTATTAGGCAGTGGTGGCTTGAAGCTGCTGATCAGAAGGTCAGAGGTTCACACCCCATTGCTGCCGTTGTTGGGCCCTTGAGCAACGCTTAACTCAACCAGGGGCGCCTTGTCATGGCCGACCCTGCGCTCTGACCCCACCTGGGGTATGCCAAAAGTGAATCTGTCTTGTGACAAGTAAAGGCAGCTTCTATTTCTTTTATTCATTCAGCCGACTCTGATTTTCATTATGTGCTTTCATGGCAGTTTGCGACATCTTGTTAAATGATTTCTTATTGCTGTTGATGACGCGTCTGTTACTGGCACATATAATGTTATTGCCCAGGCCTCGATGGTAGGGCTGAACGATACGGTTATATTTATTTTTTTTGTGATATATTTTGTGAAATGGCTTCAATAACTCTATTTAAAAATCGTTAATCATACTATTTTGTGGAAAAGGTCATCTTTTGTGACCTTTCTCTGGCGAAACACTGGCAAAGGCTTCTGAAATAGTGTGTTTTTGGCTTTGGATTATATTCAGGTCTGGCTTTGCAGCGGTCATACAGAGCTTTGTGGCGCTGATTGAAATGGTCAAACAAATCTTGTGATGTTGTCTCATGTGGTGGCAGCAACGTTAGAACGCTGCTGACAGAATACCTGTTGTTGGTTGTCGTCTTTTCTGTTGCCAGAATATTTCCATACAGCCGAGTAGGCCTGCATGACAATGGACAAAACCATAATCACAGTTATTTAGCTCCATATTGAGGTCACGATTAGTTATCACAGTTACTCATTCATCAATGTGCTTTTTCACATGTAAACAAACAGTGTGCTGCTTTCACTTCCATGCTACGCTACAGTCCTGCTAATGCCCACATGTTTGCATTAATATAAGGCTAAAAATAATCTTAATCTCAATTCAGAGCATCTCGAAGAGGCAAAATATGAATCAAACTGTACCCAAAACAACTTCCTTCTTGAACATCAGCTTATCAGTAGACTCTACAAGTTACAGATGTGCCCTAAACGCCTCACATGCAGGCTACAATAGGAGCTAGCTAGTTAGCTACACACAGAGAAGCCTCTCCACTCAGTTACTGCAGCTCAGGCTATATGAGACCAAATATTACATTTTGGAAAGACTGAAATAATGCGCTCTAGTGTCAGATCTACCTAAACTGAAGTGATTTTATTTGTGCTGGCTGTTTTCTATGAGTTGAGCATTTTAACATCAGTGTAGCAGCTGATTAAAGTTGTTGCTTTCTAGTGTTTCTATCCTGTTGTTCGCTCATGTTGCTGTGCGCATGTAGAGTCTGCATGTCAACAAACTTTGTGTTTTTTTAAAATAAAGTTCGAAAAACTTAAATTAGAGTGATTTATTATCTTCTATCACACAGACTTTTCCTGTGGATTAGTCATGGGAAAATGCAGTGAAATATGTTGGAGTTAATGTGTCTTACTTCACATCACATTTCCTGCTATGTGACTGTTGCGCTCATCGCAAGGTCAACGCTGCTATGATGTATCGTGCGGCCTTAAATGGTGGTCCTACCGTTTGTAAATTGCAGGGAAGGGCTTTATTTGTTCAAGTCAACACTCTCGGGCCGATAGCCAGACACAACCCACAGATCATTTACTGCATAATTGATCAGTTCCCTGCTGATGAACAGTGGTCAAATTGAATTTAAGCCTCCATTCAATTTATCTGCGGCGTAGATGCATGCGGCGCATCGGCTTTTATGAATCTTGATTTCTGTTAATGGCACAATAGAGTCGCGGCGGAGGTGGTTTCGTGTTACCTTCTATTGTAATCTGTTTTTTTAAGGATCATTGTATCGTGCCTAGAATTACTCATGTACTTGTCACAGCTGTGGCATTGGCACACAGTGATTTATGGCTAAAGATAAGTCATGCCATTTCATGTTGAGGTTATGTAGGACACTGAGTCTTTATGTCTATGAAAAGTGCACAGATTAAGTGACACTGCACAATTGTTCAGGGATGACATATATAAATAGGCCTATTCTGGAGTGTGTAGGATATTTTTTCTCCTCCTGGTTGTTCCAGCTCCTGCTCTGTTCCCTCACCCTCGTGGTTTGGATGCTATTTTGACCAGTGTGCCAATTTTCTCCTGTTCAAGGCCGCACAGTGTCTACCTTGCCCTGATGTGCACCGACACAGATTAATCTACTCGGTATCAGAAACGAGACAGACACACGCAAACATACACTGTAACACATTTAAACAAACATAATGAGTTGGCACCTACGGATACAGCAAGGGAGTGATGCTGTTTGGACAAAAACTGCACCTCTGCGCTCCATGAAGGATGTCTCGGCTTTGTTTGGATGCAAAGATGATTCGGTTGTTCATTTACGAAGAGCGAGAACGGTGGTAGATAGACAGATACAGCAACATGTGTGTGGAAAATAAACACACTGTGGTGTTATGTGGACTCTTTTTAAAGTATAACTGAAACGTACACAGCTGCACCCTCTAGGATGACTAAGCTGTTATGAATTTTATCAGAAAAAACATGAAATACAAATAAGTTTTCTGTGGATTTATGCAATGATTCATGATAAACATGCTGTAAATGTGGATCAGTTATCAACTATTGAGTTATGCACCAGTTATTTTAACAATAAAATAATTACTTGGAGTACTTATTAAAACAACAAAATAGTCTTCTGGTTTCTGTCTTCCTTTATGACTGAGTAGTTTTGTGCTGTGGACAAAACAAGACATTTTGGGACGTCATATTGTGCTCTGAGAAACAGATTTT